TTTCATTCTTGACTCATAAGCGACGGCATTTGTGCTAATTGTTGTGATCGATAATTTTTTGTTTTTCTTTTAATTCTAATATTATATTTTAATTTTAATTTTTAATTTTTTAATAATTTTAATTTTATGGCACATTTTTTGTAGGTTATACGATACACTTATCTTGTACATGTGTTAGTGGTTTAATGAATAGTAGATTATGTAGATAATAATAACTACAAAGATAATTTAGGGTCTGTTTGTTTTGCTGTAATTGGTTTTCTGGAAATTAAATTCTGGAAAATGAATTACATTTCTAGAAAATGTTTTCCGTAAAATGAATTATATTTTTTCTGAAAAATATTTTCTGGAAAATGTTTTACGATGTTTGAAATATGTTGTTTAAACTTTTTTTCCACTAGTTGATAAGTTTTTTAAAAATTATTTATTACAAATATTAAATAAAAATAAACAATATTATTTATCATAAAACTTAATATTATTATTTTTAAAATATTAAAATAAAATATTTATTATTAAATATTATTTTTATAATTTTATTAATAAAAATAAAAATATTGGTATATTTTATTGAAATAAAAAGATTATAAATTATATTAATTATTTATTAAAGTAATAGTGTTATATTATATTTTAAAAATATTAATTAGTATATTTTAAATATATTTATTAAAATATTATTAGATTATTATATTAATATTAAATATATAAATAATATTATTCATTATTAATAATTTAATAATATTATTTCTATGAAATTAATAAATAATATAAATTTTATTAATAATTTATTATATATTATTAAAATAAAAATATAATATCTTATATTATTATAATATAATTTATTATAATATTATAATATTAAAAATATAATAATATATTATTAGAAATATTAATAAATATATTTTAAATATTTTAATAATTAATATTTTGATTAAAATGATATTAAAATATTTTATTAATATTAAATTCATAAAATAAAATTATTTTGAGTATTTATTCTTTGAAGTGAAAAGTTCGGAAAATGATTTACGAAAAATCAAACCGCAAGTCATTTCTCAGAAAACACAATGGAAATTCTGTTGACCAATAAAATATTTTACGTTGACCAACCAGGTTTCCTCCAATCAAACACTGGAAAAATATTTTTCGAAAAACGTTTTACGTGAAACAAATACAGAATTTTGGAGAAAACCAATTTCGTAATTGATTTTTCCCCAAACAAACATACCGTTAGTTTCAATAAAAGACTTATTCTTTACTAATGTATAAAGCACTGTACTTACCAGAATGTAATACGGGCTGAGAATTACTTCTCTTTACCCGTCTCTATTATCAACGTGGTATTAGTTCGGGCTTTACCCTACTCGACTATGACTTCTTCCTATGGGACTATCTCTGAGGCTATCGTTCATCCTTCACACACAACCCTAACCGATACGGCCTGTACTTCTATTACATGTCATCGATTGAATGGCAATAATTATATTTCTTGGTCCCAGTCTGTACGGCTTTATATCACTGGCCGACGCAAACAACACTATATTTTGAAGACCACATCGATTCCTGCTGCTAAAGATCCCGATTATTCAAACTGACTTAGTGAAAATACCATGATTATGTCATGACTGATAAATTCCATGGTTCCTGGAGTTGGAGAGATCTTTATGTTGTACGATACGATTACTGAAATTTGGGCGTGCTACAAAGGACACCTATTTGAGTCTGGAGAACTCTGCTTTGTTTGGGATTGAATGTCAATTACTAGTCTCAAAAAGGACAATATGATTGTTACTCAGTACTTCAATCTTTTATCATGGTTGTGGCAACAACTAGATTTGTTTGAATCTCATGACTGGTGGTGTGGAGACGATGCTCGATTGTTCAAATAAATTATTGAGAAGTATCGTATATTTCAGTTTTTGTCTGGTTTGCATCAAGATCTTGATAAAGTATGGGAAAGAGTATTGGTCTTAAACCTCTTCTGTCAGTTCGGAAGGTTTTCTCTAAAATTCAACAGAAAGAAAATCGGTGCAATATTATGCTTATTGATTCTATGCCTACTAAAGGGTCTACGTTACTAACTCATTCCCACAGCAATCCTCAACCAAAGAAGGGGAGACCTTGGTGTGATCATTGTAAGAAGGTTGATCATGTGTGAGATTTTTGTTGGAAGTTGCATGACATGCCGGCCGTGGGAGACCTTCGAAGCAGCATCAACAACGTGATTCTCATGGGCATTGTGTCTTCACTAATGGTTTGCAGGTAGTTCTTTTAGTAAGAAACAGATGGAGGAATTACAGCAGTTCTTTGTTCAGTTAAATACTACCTCCATATCAGCACATGCATCTTTCGTTCCTGAAGGTAGAGTTTCCTCTGCTACTTCAGCTAACAAAACCAATACTCCTACATGAATTGTGGATTCCGGTGTAAGTGATCTTTGGATCTTTCAGACTTTTCAAGCAACACAGTCTACCTCCCATATCCATACGGCGGATGGTTCTCTTTTTTGTATTACAGGCCATGAATTAATTTAGATAAATATGGATATTCTTTTAAAAATTATTTTGTATGTTACTAATCTCGCTTGCAATCTTCTTTCCATTAGTAAGTTGTCTGATGATTTACGCTGCACTATTCAATTTGACTTTGATTTTTGTGAATTTCAAGATTCGAACTCAGAGAAGGTAATTGACATTGCTCAGCTTTGTGAGGGTCTTTACCTGCTTACGGCGAACCTATCCTACTAGCCTCACACTTACTCCGTTTCCTTGTCACAATTTGCTCCCATATCATCATCCTTATTTGAGCCTTCATCGGATGTTATGTTATTACATTTTCGTTTAGGATACCCTAATTTTTTTATCTTGCAAAATTGTTTCCACAATCGTTTATTAATAAAAGTCCTAAAATTTTCTCTTGTGATATTTTTCATCTTGCTAAATAAATAGTGTTTATCTATGCTCTCCATACAAACTGTTTGCCATGATTCATAGTGAAATTTAGGGTCCATCCAAGGTAACAATTTTGAATGGGTTTTGATGGTTTATTTCCTTTATCGATCATCACACTCGTACTACTTGAACTTTTATCATGAAAACTAAATATGAGGCTAGTGATATATTTAAACAGTTCCATAAAGTGGTTGAAACTCAATTTTAGAGTTAGTCAGATTTTTCATTCTGACAATGGCACTGAATATTTTATCAACATTTTGGGTTCTTTCTTTAAGGAAAAAGGAATTATTCATCTTATTTCGTGTGTTGATTCCCCTAAAAAAATGGGATGGTTGAACGGAAAAATAGGCATCTTCATTAGATTACTCGGTCTCCTATGTTTTCTACAAATGTTCCTAAATATTTTTTTAGGGAGACTTTTTTAATTGCCACATATTCGATTAAGCGAATGCCCAGGAAACCGTTATGATTTTAATGTTCGAGAGAGGTTTTCTTCAGTATTTTTTCACTTTTAAACCTATGGCTTCTTCTTTACCTCTTCGAATCTTTGGGTATTATATTGTATTTGTCCATAACCATGATAAAACCCGGTCTAAGTTGGTTCTTGGGGCTTTTTGTGTGTCTTTCTTGGATATTTTTCAACTCAAAAAGGCCAAGTGTTCTTGTCCTAGTACTAATAAGTTTTTTGTTATAATGGATGTCATTTTCCTTTAAAAAAAACTCCATCCTTCCTTAAAATTGAAATTCAAGGGGAGTCGAATAATAAATTCCAATTTTTTAAGACTGTTTCTACTTCACAACTGTTGTTATTTGACCAACAACTATTATCCTTTGATTGTCCAGCAACATCGAACCAACCAACAGAATCGGACCAACCAGACCAATCAACAATGCCGAACAAAGCAGAACCGGAAAACGTATCAACCAACCAGCAGAAATACATCTACCCTAGCCTGATCATCACACTGCTTTTCCCTAAATAATTTCAAATTCCCCTCAGATTCCTCAATCAGGAAAAAAAAAATCAATAAACAAAAAGAAAACGAAGACCGAATCCCGAGCTTATTCCCAAGCCTCCCATATAGCATGAATACTGCCAAGACCCGAAACCGAGCGTGAATCCCTCTGAGAATGAAGAAGGTAATCAAGTTTCTCCCGATGAATTAAATACTTTACTTGATAGTAGTGATTTGCCAATTGTTTAAAAGAATGAAGTAAAGAGAAGTACAAATTATCCGATTAATAGATTTGTTGCATATAAGAAGCTAATGCCTTGTCTGGAATTTTACGGCCAGTGTAGAAAATGTTATTGTTCCAAGTACTGTTGAAGAAGCATTGAAGGAACCTAAATTTAACAACTTGCTAATAATTGAATTTAAAATTTGTTTGATATAAAAAATAGATGGATTAAATGCCTGAAAATAAAAGTAGAGGAAATAAGTTCCAATTTAGAACATAATTAACCTAATTTTGCTATCATAAAAAAACAGGTTTATAGATATTAGCAAAGGCTAAAAAGAAAACCCCAAATCTGAAAAAAAAAATTACCGAGCTAATTAATCAATTAAGAAAAAAATTGCACATGATATAAATTGGCATTATGCATATTTTGAATTTTGACAAGTTTAAATTATTGCAACTCCATTCATTTCCCAAATATTATACACATTTTTTCTTAGTGACTAAACTTTGTATTTAATCACTTAATTATTCTCGTGATTCTGTTTTGATCACCTGTTTTTTTTTAAATCATAACTAAACTTGTGTTTTTATTTCATTTTAATCACCCACATCTAAAAAATAATCAGAATGATTGATATAACATTTTTTCAATAATGATGCGACATTATCTTATATGACACATCAATATCACCGTAATCTAACGGAACAAAAACGTGAGTTTAAGTATTGAAAAGAAATAGTTGTGTAATCAAAACGAAACCACAAAAATAAATAAGTGGATGACTAGATACGTAATTTACCCTCTATTTATAGAATAAAAGTATACCATAAACGAAAAACCATAAAACAAGTGTAATTTGATAACATTTGACCATCTCGGCATTCGCCAGCCAAATAATAATTATCTATTCTCAAATGTACATAATGTGATATATATTGTCTTTTAACTTGGTAAAAATATATCTCAAATGAAAATAGTAGGAATTTCCCCAGGCTGATAACCTGATTAACTAGACAAATGCATCTTGCTGATTAGAACTTGATAACCATTGTCGCCTCTCCCTTAAAAAAAAAGGTACAGATTAGTATGCAACGAATTAAAAGAACAGTGGTTTTTGGCACTTAATCCAAAAATGGTACCTCTCTGTGAATTCATATTCTGCTTATGTCTCGGCCGAAAACGAATGTTGTGGACCAGTTAATAGCAACATAGAATCTATTTCTCCAGCTGACTACTCGTGTTAGATACGCCGAGCGCCATATAAACCAGCTCGCGAATCCGGCTAGAGATATCCCTTTTGCTTCCTATAAAAGAAAATCATGGATGTTTCATATGTCATAAGTCATCCAAATTAATAGCTCAAATGTTGGGGGGGGGGGGGAATCACCTTGCTCTGTCTTAGATCAACAAGAGCCTTGAATCTGCCAACAGTTGCCATGCTCCCGAGATGCTTGTACTCGAACGGATCCCCCATGTTCATGTCCTTAGCACCGTTGGCATGTCCTCCACCGTCTTTACAGATTTTATTCAATAGGTTCGCTAGATACTTTCCTTGTCGCTCGGCAACCTGAGAAAGATAGAAACATTGGCACTCAAAGCAACAAAAGGGTACACACAAATCTCCCATGAACATAAAGAGAGCCATTTATCCACTATACAAAGTTCATCATAGTACTCGACTTTCAATGGGATACACAACCTAGTGTTGTACCCGGATTTTGGATGGAAAGAGTAGTTTCAAGAAAACACCATTGCGAGTATATAATTAAGCCTACGCAACGGATTCATGTAGCAACACACGGGAAGTAACTCGTTGGATAACCGAATCCAATTTCCACCAGAACCGGATGATATTATCTTGAACTTTAAAAGAACAAAAAGACTTTAAGGAAGGCTCAGAAAAGGTTGGGGATTATTCCTAGCTTACCTGTGCTAAAGCTGGAAGGACTGGTTTACCAGTACTTTCTAGAAACCCACTGCAGTCACCAATCGAAAACACATCCTGCACAGTAGGAACTCGAAGCCACTCATCAATACCAATCCTGTTAACAAAATGGAATAAGTCATGGAAAAAAATCGACCCATATATAGCATAAAGAATTACCAACAATTGAAAGTTGAACCTATTATGCCAGTTTTTATTGTAAACAAGAAAAAAGACGAACAAAGTCACTCAGATTTCATCTTACCTTCCACCAGGAGATTTCGGAAGGCCTAGAGATTTTACGAAAGGAGAAGGACCAACACCTGTGGACCATACTAATAATCCATAGGGAACCTCAGAACCATCCGAAAGGACAAGATTTTCAGGTTTAACATCCTTCACAATCCCACGAACCAGACGAACTCCTGACTGAGAAAAACTACTTGATGAAATATAAAAAAAGAAAAGAAAGAGAAACCTCTTTGAATAGAGGTGGAAAGATTAAATAATCTTTGTTTCAATCAACCATCTCTCACCTTTGTTAACTGTTTAATTGCATAGCGCCGGAGGCGGTCATCAAAGGAAGACAGTATCTCATTAGCCTGAAAAAAATATTATAATTTGAAAATCTCCTCAATTAAAACAACTTCAAACAAGACATGACATGACATGAGCATAACAAGAATCTTGAGTAGGCCTTCAAGTTTCCAGGAAAAGTTCAGAAAAAAAGCACCGGCTTCAACAAAGGTATTAGAAGACAAAAAAACTACACAAATGATCGTAACAGAATAACTTAGATTGTAGTAAAACGAACCTCAATCAGTGTGACATGAATATAGTCTTTTACATGAGTGTATCTTTCATGAACATCCTTCCTAATAAAATCACTAAGTTCACCACTAAACTCAACCCCAGTCGGACCACCTCCAACAACAACAATATGCAGCAATCTCTGTTTCTCTTCTTCAGGAAGCCCTGCTCCACACCAAGCCAATACAAAAAACATATAATCATGGACAAGTTATTAGTTTCCAGTACAAAAGGAGGCAAAAAAAATACACAAGGGGTGTATTACCTGGCACATCAGATAACATCAAGTTCAGAAGTAGCTTCCTCCGAATTTCCTGAGCATGGTGAACTTCACGCAAAAAAAGTGCATGTTCTTTGACGCCATGTATTCCAAACGTTGACGCATCTGCTCCTGATGCAATGACCAACTTATCATATGAAATCCTAAACTTCCAAGGGTCCACGGTGTTTGTTCCATCAGTAACAGTCTCACAATGCACCTTCAATACCCAAAACAAAATATTTCATGATCCAGCCATCAAAACCCAAAATTCCTTAAGTTCCATACTGCATTATCATTTCCATCAAACAAAAAAACAAGAAAAAATAATTTCCCACCAGCAGAGATTTACATAGCAGTCCGCTATCGGAATAGCGACCGTTTTATAGCGGTAAAGGGGCCATCCGAAACCGTTATTTCACAATTGTGATACCCGTAATTGCCGCAATGACGATAAACACAACCGAAAATGCGACGGCAACAGCTATTTAAATCCCTGTTTACCAATAACCTTAAATTCAACCAATTTCATTCCGCAAAGCAACGTGTAGAAATAAGATCCAACATTTCTGTACAAACTAGCAATCTTCACTAAAATTTAACTAAATTCATTACCCAAAAGCCAAAGCCAAATATGGAAACAATCAAGCTAATTTTATGATCATGCCAATAGTCAATACTTTTGATTGTAATTCTCCCCAAAAAAATTCACAAAAGGGAAAGAATTGCTTAATCCTATAAAGGCAACATATATTTTCAAATACCTCATGGTTTTCAGTATCCACGGCAGTAGAATTAGCAAGGAAAAAATAAGATCCGGGTGCTGAGGAGATCGAGGGCTGAATCCTGGCAATGGGTTCAGCTACGGACCTGAACTCAAGAGTCCCAACACAAGTTGAAGCCAATAGCGGAGTAAATACCATATGGTTCCTAGGTGACACACAAACGATGTCATACAGGTTGGGGTCCAAGCCTTTCATTAGCCTGCAACCAGCCCATCCAGATCCTAACACCACCACCCTTGGTTTCTCATCTGGCTTGGTGGGTCCCAGACCTGATGCCTGAGCCGCCGATGAAGGGTGGTGGCTGGCGGTGCTGAAGTGGGATAAAGAAGCTTGTAGAAGGGATTTGGCGATGGGGATTTTGGAGTTCGTTGTTGTGGAGAGTTTGATTAATTTTGTAAACCGAAACATGGCTGATATCATTCCACCGTATCAGAAAAAGAAAAAAGTTGAAAGACTTTAGTGATATTGAAGATGCTTTTATAAGTCCATTGATTCTGCAGATACTTGATTACTTGTTCTTTGGCGAATTATTGAGACCTGGGACAGCTTCGTCTTTCTACTATATCAAATACTTATTCGATCTCTTACGTGTATTCTCGTATTCGGGTTTATTTATTTAGTTAAATTATATTTAATGTTATATTGTATTTCTATTTTAATTAAAGATGATGTTGTCATGTTTGATGATTATATATGAACACGATTAATGATGATTATTATTAAATTAATTTATAAAACATTTAATTATAAAATATTAGACGTATAATTATAAATTAGTTAAAATCTAAATGTAATTTAATTAAAATATAATATTTATAAAACATTAGTTTTTAGGGTAAATTATACTATTGACCATTTAATTATTTACTCCTTTTACTTTAATCACCGATTTTTTAATTTTGTCGATCTAGTCACCTAACTATTTAAATTTTGTTAATCAAACCACCTGCCATTAAATATTAATGGAAGAGATGACATGGCAGGTAATAAATTTTTTATAATTATATATTTAGTCCTTATTACTTACATATTCTATTAATTTGGTCATAACTTTTATTTAATTTAATAAATTTAATCATCAATCTGATTGTGACATGTGTCACTGTGTGATTTAATTTTTTTAATATTTTTATTTAATAAATTTTTCATCCAATCAAATGATACTATATATCACCGATTGAATGAATGAAAAATAAATTAAATCAATAACTATTGTCGGTGGGGTTTGAACCTGGGATACAATCAAAAAAATTAAGCACTTTAACCACAAAATTTGCTTAGTATATAGAACATAATCTATATAATTTATAATATAGTAAATGGTAATAAATGACCTTATAATGACTCAAACATGAAATAATTGAATAGTATGAAAATATAAATATATATTATATTTGATTAATAAATGAATATATTTTATTTATATTTTAAATCACATATAATGCAAAAATTAAAATAAAAGTGAATTTAATATGTTATAATTGAAATGTATCATTTTACATATTTTAAATTAATAAATTGTCTTCGTTATTCTAATTTTGTTGAACTGAAATGTATCATATCTTATATTTTAAAATGTTATAACGTCGATTGGATTCTGATCTTATTTAACAACTCTATATTAAGAATAGACTAATTCAATAAAATCAAGTTTACCCTAAAATTTTATTCAAATATATAACGAATAAATAATAAAATATAGAATTCTTATTATAATCGGGATATAAAAAAGTCAATACATAAGTTAAAATGCTTATTATGATAAGCCATCAACTATCAGGAAATTTTTAAGTCAGCGAAACTATTCGTTATATTGCAATTATAACATATTAAAATTATTTTTATTTTTATTTTTTCATTAAAATGATTTAAAGTATAGATAAAAATACATTCACATATTAACAAGTTATAATATTTATGTATATATATATATATATATCATATTATTATATTATTCAATTATTCCATGCTGAAATTCTTATTAGGTCATTTTCCCTTTTTTATTGCCATTAATTATATATATTATGTACTGATAAACTTGTCATTTGAATGATGTATTCCAGTGGTTGGGGAGTTTGTTTCCTCTCCTCACGTCTTTGGTTTAAACCACACTAGCAGTGATTATTGATTTAATTTATTTTACATTCATTCAATTGGTGACACATTACACCATTTGATTGAATGGAAATTTATTAAATTAAATAAAAATATTAAGAAAAAACATTCAATCACATATTGACACATGTCATCATCTGATTGAGGATTAAATTTATTGAATTAATTAAAAGTTAGTATCAATTTAATAGAATGTGTAAGTAATGAGGACTAAATGTATAATTATACAAATTTTATTAGTTGTCACGTCATCTTCTCAGTTAATATTTGACGGTGTATGGCTTGATTGACAAGATTTAAATAGTTAAGTGACTCGATTGATATAAATAAAAAATTGACAGATAAAGTAAAAGGGGTAAATAGTTAAATGATTAATTGTATAGTTTATCCTAAAAACTAATGTTTTCTAAATACTGTATTTTAATCAAATTACATTTACATTTTTAACTAATTTATAATTATGCGTTTAATATTTTATAATTTGACGTTTTATAAATTAATTTAATAGTGTTTATCGTTAACGGTGCTCATTCATGTTCAACGAACATCATAGAAAATTTCTTTAAATTATAAACAAAATAAAATTCCACCTACTAATGTTTTAAAGGAGTCGAATCCTAAACCTCATGCTAAGGTCCAAGCATTTAGCAATTGAACTAGGTATGTCATTTGTGTTATTTGCACCGAATATTTTAAAGTTATATTATACGGTAAATTACAAATTTAGTTACTAAAATATTTTGTCATTCCTATTTTATTTATCAAACTTTGAAAATTTTCAATTTAATAATTAATTTTTATACATAATTTATTGTCACTCTAAATGATACGGATCATTTTATTATCATTTTCATATGACGTGTTTTATTTATGTTTTAATATCACACAAGATTATAATGAAAAATAAATTTAATAATTTTAAATTATACTCTTAAAATTTAGATTCAAACTTCAACTTCTTAAATTATACTTTAAACCCTAAATTACAATCTCACCTCACTAGCGGACGATAACTCATCATGGTTATATACAATAACGGGTCTACCCTTAACTCGGTATGGGTACTTGTCCATCCTGAAATTCAAATTTTCCTACCTTAAAATTTTATTTGTGTTCACCTAATACAAAATTTTATGTTATTAACGTATGTATGTCTACCCTCAAAAAAGTTTCTACATTAGTAACTAGTTATATGAAACTCAGGGTTTTAAATAACGGTCCGCGACCGCGATAACACCCGTGAAATTTCTCACAAGTCAATTATTTTCGCCACATCAATTAACTTATAGATTTTCTCCATTAATGTTATTATTTTAGTTTTTTCAAAAAATAAATTCCTTTTCAGTCTTTAGCATCTGAAAACTACATGAGAAATTTCTCATGTAGATTCAACGTTAACTGCACCGGCTTCAGTTCTCACGATCATGTTTTAATTTTGAAAAAAAATAAATAATTAGATGACCAAAATGAAATTATATAAATAGTTGAGTGATTAAATATGTAATTTATTTATGTATTTTTAACGAAATTAATACTTTAAAATAAATAAAATAACAATTTAATGTTTAAGGAGTAAAATATTAAAAAAATAGTTTAAACAACAACTCGATACAATAATGCATTTAAACATTTTATATTCAAATAAAACAAAACAATATAAATATAATTTCATTTTAAAACTAATTGAATTATTCATAAATAGGGATGGACACATGACTCGAACTCGACGAGTTCTGATCCAATCCGACTCGATTGGATCGAGTTTTTTTCAAAAAAAATTCAGGCTCGGGTCGATTCGAAATTTTTAGAGGGTAAGTTTGGGTCTAGTTGGGTTCGAGTTTAGGATGAAAAATACCCGATCAACCCATAAAATAATATAATTATATCTTAAATTTTTATAAATAATTACAATAATATTATTCTTTATATTATTTATTTTCAATTAAGTCCATACTTTATTGAATAAAATTAAAAATTTTATATTATTTCTTATCAGATCAGATCGGAATCGAATTTTATCTTAAAAGTTGATCAAATTTCAAGTCACATGAAATTATTTTATATTTAGGTTGGATCAAATTTCGAGTAAAAGAGAAGAAAAAAAATCGATCAAATCAGATTGGCTAAATCCCGACAGATTTCCATCCCTATTCATAAACGAAAATGTGGGACAAGGTAAAGTTAAGGAGACTTGGGTCAAAATTAAAGAAGGCAAATTCAAATCCACCGGCAAGTTGGCAGACACTCCATTTTAAGCTCACGTGAAACTGTGAAAGCCTATCAGCTCCACCACAACACAACGAAAAAGCACCACTCTTTTCTGCACAACTTCACCAATCACTTCCCTTTTCATATATCTATACTATTTTTTTTTTCTTCTCTACTTTCTTATTTTTGGCTTTTACCTTCATTGCTCTTCAAAATGACAACCCATCTTCCTTTCATCTTTCCAACCATTTTTAACCCTTCTTTTTCTAGCCTTGTTTCAATCTCAAACATCTTTCTCAGCTCTGATAATGAGCTTGAGGAACCACCGTAGCCACCCCCAGCATCGAAGACCGATGTTCCAAACCAACCAAACTACTTGTGCATTGTTTGCTGGGACTTGGGTCCGTGATGATTCTTACCCATTGTATCAATACTCAAGCTGTCCAGCCATAGATCCCCAATTCAACTGTCAGCTATCTGGAAGACCTGATTCTGATTACCTTAAGTATCGATGGAAGCCCCTCAATTGTCAGCTTCCAAGGTACCAGAATCACTACTTCCTTGTTGCCCGGTTTTGGGGGTTTATTTGTTTTTGGGTGATGATTTTTGTTTTAGTAAGTTTATGTCAGGTTCGATGGGGTTGCTTTTTTGTCGAAGATGAGGGGGGGGGAATGTGATGTTCGTTGGGGATTCACTGGGAAGAAATCAATGGGAGTCTTTGATTTGTATGATTTTGGCTGGGGATCCACAAACCCAGACTCAGATGAACAGAGCAATGCCTCTTTCCACTTTCAAGTTCCTGGTCAGTCTTATCAAACCTTCTTTATTCTTTATTCCTTTTCCTTAGCTCTTGAAACTCTAGTTTTAGTAAATGAAAGAGGAAAAAGAAGAAAGGTTTGTGCAGTGGTTACAGGCTGGAAGCAACCTATTTTGGCTCAACTTTATTCAAACTTTCCAAGCATATATCCGAATCATCGATTCTATTGGACCGTAAATCCATATTGCTCTCTTTATTTCTCCTTTCCAATTACCATTGCATATTGTAGATGTAAATGAAACCAGTCTAGCTTGAGTCCAGCTTGATTATTACTGAGATCGACTTGACTGAAAAAA